TATATATATATATCTGTATGTATGTATCTGTATATCTGTATTTTAACAACATCTATCAGCGCTGCATACTTTCGGATCGACGATTCGAAAAAGACTAAAGTATAATGTACTGCGCATGACTGGACTACACAGGTAAAGCTCCCCGGTGTGTTATTCATTTGCATCTACTAGGCCGAAGAATATAGGGTAGGTCTATAAAAAAAAGAAAAAAGAAAAAAAAAATTAAATGTATGGCTCGCATGACTCGCTGGCTTGCACTTTGGCACTACTCAAAAATTATTGTAGGCAAACAGAATAAAAAAAATGGATGAAAATATTTTTTTTTACGAAAAACCCATACTACCACAAGTTGAAGCAGTCTTGATTACGCAACGTGTATCGCCATTTTGTTTTTTCGAGTATTAACAAGTTTTCTATTCGACTGGTCGTCTTCGTTGAGTAGGATATTACCGCTGCGCAGGTGGGTGTGGTTTAACGAAGAACGACCAGTCGAATAGGGCCTTTGTATAGTTGTAAACATGTGCTTGCTGCACAGCTAATTTTGGGTGATCTTACGTCATCGCAGCTTTCGCGGCCAGTTTAGCGTTGTGGCTTCCTCCCCGATGACGACGGACTGAGCAACAATGCAAAGATAACAAACTTCTTGAAATTTGACTGTTTTGTACGATCGCCGACCGCCGCAGTATATTCCAACGTTGAAGTCATATTACCATTGACAACTATGGCTTGGCTAGGCCTAGCTTGGCCTAGCCTGGCTATGACGAATCAAGGCACTCGCGAGAAATTAGTACTGAGGCTAAATCAAATTTTGCCTTGGGTGCCCTTTTATACTTGAAATTTTGGCCTTGGTGCCTTTCCATTTGACCTTGCATGGTGCCTTTCAAAATCATGTCATACCGGAGGCCATTTGGCCTTGCCCATAAAATCCCCAAATTCGAGGCCTGTAAGAACCCCTCGATTTTCATCTATTTCCATAAAGCCCCCTCAATTTCCACTCTGTTTTCATAAGTGCCCTGTTTAAATAAGCGCCCTGTTTGAATAAGCGCCCCTCAAAAAGTGCAAAACATATTTTAAGCGTCCGGGCGTTTATTTACGCGCGTACAGTGGTCACATACCAATAGGTTCTGAGGGCATACTATACATCTTATGTATTATCATGTACACACATTGCAGTACCTACTCACACATCCATATTTAGAATTGTTGCAGCTTCACAATTCTATTAAAGAATACGGCATTTGTTTACATAAAAAAAATGATGCTTGGTCAGTAGATTGGATTTGATTTATTTGGTATGAAAAACACCGAAGATAAGATACTTTGGTGGTCCTGTTGATGGTGAATTGGGCAGTACACTGGGAGACAATTCCCTTCCACATGGGCCACATTACACACAGGCCCTGTATCACCCACTAATGTAACAATCAACCACTGTTGTAACATTAACAACTGTTGTAACAAAAATCTCAACCAATTTTGTAACATTAATCATTGTTGTAAACAAAATCAACCATTGTTGTAACAATTTTATTAGCTACTATTTTAACAATGATTAACCATTGTTGTAACAAAATTTATTAGCAACTATTGTAATGATATAATCACTAATGTAACAATGTATATATAGAAGTCTCCATCTGAAAACTTATGTATATTGTACTATTACAAATTTCATGGTTGGTTGTGGCATTTAAAAAAAATTATAATTTTTGATATAGGTCAAATTTATTAACATGGTTTGCGAAATTATATAAATATATATTTTGGATCTTGAATACATTTTCGAAGTTAAAGGTCGAAGTTCCTGAAAAATGGTAAACAGCTCGATGCCCAAATATTTCAAATCAAAATAATATAATAATGAAGAAAAAAAACAATAGAACATAAACATTCTTTTTTTATCGTTAATCGTTATCGTTGTAGCTAGTATTTATTTACTAAAAAAATTATAGTACCACTGTGGATTATCGCCATCCAAGTCATTAGCGCCAATTTTTATACCCTGGCGTAGCCTATATTGCCTTTAAGTATCTAAATTAGGAAATATACATTTATTATATTAAGTTTTATATTTGAAATATACTGTATGCCTAATGTAAATATTTTAAACACAGTATCTTAAGGCAGGCTCAGGTCGACATGGAACTGAAAGGAATTCAACTCAACTCAAATCAACTGAACGTAACTAAACTCATGTTCACTTTGAGCAACCGAAAGGAACTGAATGAACTTGAATCATGTCAACTGTCAACTGAAATGAACTATTGGTTAAAAACATTTTCCGCACGAAATCCCATCAACTGCAAAATGTCTAATGTTTGTATTAAAACATGTAAATATTTTAAAAAGTGTATTTACCTTACTTTTATATCATAGCAAAGTAAAAAACCATAAAATTTATCCCTAGTAACAACACACTTTGAAGAATGGTGGCACACGTGAGTAAGGTAAATGTAATTAATTAAAACATTAACTGTAACTGACCAGCTGATTATATCACATTTCCAATTTATTTCTTCTGCGCACTTGACAATTATACTAACGATAAGTAGAGGACAAAATTTAGATTGTGCACTGTCCATATTATTGTAACGTCCCCTCAATTTCCACTCTGTTTTCATAAGCGCCCTGTTTATATAAGCGTCCCTCAAAAAGTGCAAAAAATATTTTAAGCGCCCGGGCATTTATTTGCGCACGTACATAACAGCAGAATAGCAGATGCAAATAGTGGGTAGTGGTTGAGATTAGCAGGATGGCAGGATCATTGCCGTAAGATTACGATTTTTGGAGAGCTGAAAAATATTGATACTTCTTTAGTTTTTAGCGTAGTCTGTCCCGGTCCTCAGGTCACAGTGTGCGATTGCGAAGTACGATCAAACTTTATAAACACACACACAGGCCTAGGGCCTACCCTACGTACTGTCTTTCTTTATTAACTTTGTTATAAACAGAAGTCAGATTTTGGTAAAACATATCATTATGTTTTAGATAATAATATTAGGGTCAGACATCTACTTTTTTTAAATATTGTATAATCGGAGCACATTACTTTTTGAAGAGATGTTTCCAAAAGGCTGCTGAAATAGGCTGAAAATAGATATGAAATACCAAGGGGCAGACTTAATTTAAAGGCCATTATTTCAAAAACCACTTTAGAAAATGACCCAGAAAAATACACATAAAAACTACAAAGAAAGATATAGTTTAAGATTAGTAAAATCAGATTACTTTTTAGTTATGGTCCTCTAAAAATGCTCTAAATTCCAATTAAGCAAATCTACCCAAATATAATATACAGTAAACTCAGTTTCTTTTTTCTAACGATGAGACTCATTTTGTGGTGAGACCTCACAAATGTTTTCATCTTCTTATACAGTTTACTAGTCTTTTCAGTAGTAGGGGGTATTGTCTTCATTAGGTATAGCTTTAATATTTCTCAAAATAGAAAAAAAAATTATTAAATAGGGCACAACGGTATGTGCAATTTAACTTGGGTATGGACGTTCATAACGAACAGATATCTGGAAAGTCACATGCATGTCACATACTGTACATACATCGTACATACCTGTACACACAAAGGGCATCGTAAAGGTACCTTTGCTTCAAAGCATAGAACAAAGTACCAGAAATGCTTATCCTTGTTTATGGAATGATTCAAAGGTATGTAATAGCATTTCCAAATATTTTTTTGACAAAATAGTTCATTAAGGTATGGTAAGTGCCTGTCTCTTGGTTTACCACTGAGCTACTTTGTAAAAATAGAATCTGATGCATTCTACAAAATATATTTGATTACCAATAATATCATAGCTAAATAGTATGTTGATTTTTCTAAAAATCATATTACTTGATACAATATTTTTAAAAAAATGTAAATGATTTGAGACAACTTACATTTCAATTTTATTGTTTCCGATATTCTATTCCCAGCAATGTTAGTTGCGATACAATAGTAATCTCCTTTATTGCTCTTCTTCATACTCTCTATGTTGTAAGTTAGTTTTGTTCCAGTAACATTTTGATACTCCTTTCCATCTTTGAAAAGTGTTATCATAGGAATGGGATAAGAATTTTCAGAAGAACATTCTATGTCTACACTTTTACCTTTCTTGACAGGATTAGTATTAGGCCTAATGTTGATCACGCAATTTTCAATAACTGCAAGACAGAAAAAAAAAAAAAACAATACTGTTTTTACAAAGTAGGTCTATGCTGAGGTTTGCCTTAAAGTCAGACTCCGGAGAAAAAAAAAATTTTTTTGATATGTTGTAGAACTGATTTTTCTAAGACAGGAAAAAGTTGTTTGACGAAAAACTGGGGAACGGTGAACGAGATACAGATTTTTGAATATTTAAAAACTGGGGGAAAAAGGGGCGTAACTGCCCATTTTTACACCTTTTCCCCCAGTTTTTAAATATTAAAATTCTGTATCTCATTCACCGTTGCTCAGTTTTTGATCAAACTACTTTTTTCTGTCTTAGAAAAATCAGTTCTACAACATATCAAAACATTTTTTTCCTCCGGAGCCTGACTTTAAGTTTTTTTTTAAAAAGTGACATTTACCTTAGCTGAGGCCTCTTGGCCTATTTATGTAGGTATTTGTTTGGAATGGAGTTTTCGAATATATTGTAGGCCCTAATTATTTCTTATTGCTAGATGGTAGCACTAAGGAAGGGAAATACAGGATTACCAATTTAAAACTGACGTTACGCTTATTTGTAATGTTAGATTATGTAGAAAACAATTTTAAATTTATAAAGGGACACAATTTGGATGTTTTTGTGAGATAATTATAATGTGGATTAATGAATTCTGTGCTTAATTTGTTACATTGGAGGATATCAATTTCAATTTGTAAACATTAAAAAACAAGGGACGAAATTTATAGATTGATTAGCAGTGTATGTCCCAACTAATAGCTCAATACCATCCCAAGTTAAAAAAAAAAAAGCAGGATCCCACTAGGATAGGCATATCTAACTGGGATTTGCCTATTTCGCTGGGATAAAATTAAAATCCAGGTGGGATTTTGTCTAACAGGGGGGGATCACACTTGCATGTGTCTATAACACTGGGATTTGCCTATTGAACTGGGATGAATGTAGAATTTTAGTGGGATTTTGTCTTGAAAGTTGGATCTCACTCAACAGGAGTGGGATCCCACAGTCATAAATATATCTCACTGAGGTGAATAAAGAAATCCCAGTGAAATTTTGTCTAATAGTGGGATCCCACCCAACTGGGATGGGATCGCACTCAACTGCAATGGAATCCCACTGTGATAAATACATCACACTGAGGTGAATAAAGAAATCCCATTGAGATTTTGTCTAACAGTGGGACCCCACCTAACTGGGGTGGGATCTTACTCAACTGGGATGTAATCCCACTGTAATAAATACATCCCACTGAGGGGAATAAAGAAATCCCAGTGAGATTTTGTCCAATAGTGGGATCAAACTCAGCTGGGATGGGATCCCAGTGAGATAACAACATCCTACTTTAATGAATAGAGAATTCCAGTGAGATTTTGTATAACAGTTGGATCCCACTAACCTGGTAAGAAATATGCCTTGTGGAATTTGTAGAGAAATCAGAGGCAAGCTATCCACAATTCAGTAATGAGGAGCGGGAAGGGAATGGGATTATGGTAAATGCAATTTTCTTAATGAATGATAAAATAAATGAATGCACAAAAATAAATGAAAAGTAATTTCATTCATTTACTTATACTACATTACTTATTAAATTAATTTAATAAATAAATTAAATAAGTATAAGTAAATTAATTTAATAAATAAATTAAATAAGTATAAATGTAGTATAAGTAAATGAATGAAGAAGTAAATAATGAATAAATAATTAATTAATGAATACATTATGAAGAAACAAATAAATATGAATAAATAATTGATGAATAAAATAATAGGCCTAAATGAATAAATAAATAAATAAATTAATTGATTACAGACTGTAGTCAACCTAGGTCTATTATACAAAATTGGGTAAAAAAGGTTAAAAAGAACTAGTGTTATTCATTTTCAATGTTGTATTAGAATATTTTAATGGGGGGTGCTGATTGGGGGGGGGGAATGTCCCCAACGAAATGATGGGCGTGTTTGGGTGGGATCCCGGTAAATTGCGGGATCCCGGTAAACTGTGGGACCCTGGTGGTATCCCAGTGGGATAATATGCCCCCATGGCATCCTTGTTGACCTGTGAAAATGAAATATGATTGGATAATTATTATACAGTAACTGTCATTAAAAAAATGACAATTTTTAAGAGTGTTTAGGCAGAACCGGACCTAAAAAAAGGAAAAAAAAAAAGAGAGCGTATACAGCAAAAGTAAGGAAACCACAACAACAAAATCTATGTTGTAATGTTGTTTTAATATTTTTGGGAAGTTTTTTATTACGTAGAGATAGGTCCATTTTTCAAGAAACTAGGCCTAAAAGTACAACATAATTTACATTAGGGCCTGGCCTATAAGATAGTAGTAGTTGAAGTAGAGCCATCAAGGGGGGAGCTATAAGCATGTCTGTACTTGTCACCCGCCCCTGGATATTATTAGACTAGATCCACCAGGCCCGGGTAGGACTACATAGCCAACCATAAAGACCCACATCTTGTAACCTAAACCAAGGCCCTATGTGGTTTTGACCATTTTCTAAGCCTTTTGCTCAGTACTTTTTACAGAAAAATAGCAGAACTCCAGATTGTACTATACAAGGCCGCCTGCGCTGTGCGCGGGCTGCATGGGCCAGACTATATTGCTATACAGACAGGTATCCTCTGTGCCTAGAATAGAAATCATTCTGTCCAGGCATGTCGGAAAATAAGGGCTGTTTTCCGCACATATTTTGCCGAATTGTAGACCTTCATGAGTTTAATGACTACAGTATGTCCATAACCAGTAGCAAAAAAGTTATGAATTCTGCAAATCTGCCAACGATTTTCCAGGAAAATTTTAGTTAGGTCCTGGGCCTACTCCACTTTGAAATATTATAATTATTAATGACTTTTTTAAAGAGTAGCCAAGCCCTTTAAATTAGCGCTACACCGGAATTTACTATAGTAGAGCAGCAGTCAGTTAAGTAGTGGTGCTATTTATCCAACAAAGAGAGGGAAGAGAGGGGTGTGATTGAGGAAGGGGAATACAAATGCTCACCGATGGTGACATATACATGACAAGAGTGAAGACATTCATGTATTCTTAAATTCATGATATCGCTATCTGATTGATAATGAAAAATAAAAACTAAATAGGCCCATTTAAGTAGGTAATGAAGGTAAGTAAACACAGAGCCTACTTTATTATTATAAAGTGTCCCCCAGTGCATCACTTTCCAAAAAAAAGCTCACCCTTCCCTCAGATGCTTTGTCCACTGCAAGTCCCACTGGAGTCCCACTGGAAATTCGCCTAGGGGCCTAGTCAAACAACCTCACTTCACTTTTTGCCAGAAAACTCAAATGTCCTATCATCTATCCCCATCTCCCACCTCCCCCAAATGTAAAAAATATAGCCTATCAATCTATTATTTACAAAATTACATTACAGCAAATACTTAATGAAAAATGGTAAATACAAAAATATAAAATTTGTATAAAAATAAAGCCTGCAATCAAACAATACACCATACAAACACTAAGAAAAAAGCTAAGAAATTTGTTGTTTAAAATGGGTTACTACTTTAGTACTTTTTACTAAAATGGATTACTTGTTTGTAATGGGTTACAAACTCAAGCTTAGTTGAGAAAAATTAAAAGAGTTAAATGATGTAAGGACGATCTCTATGAATGGACATTGTTATTCTATTGTAATTTAACAATGGGTGTGTGAAAGCTCAAATTTATAATTATTGTTTAGAGAATGAGTGTCTGCGAGACTATTTATATTAAAAATAAGTAGGATCCCACCCAAAATCCCACTGTGATCCACGCCAGGATCCGGGTGGGATTTTAGGTGGGATCCCACACATACGGGAAATTCCCGCCAGTAATTCCCAGTGGGATGAACGGGATCCCGGTTATGGTCCCGGTTATGGTCCCGATTGCCATCTCGCTGTGATCCCAGTGGGATCCAGTGATAATTTATGTGGGATCCAACCAGAATATCGGCGGGATTGCAACCAGAATCCCATGCACCCCACCGTGATTTATGGGCGGGATTCCCGGTCAGAGAGGTGGGATCCCCAGTCCTCAAAATTAACGTCGGCATTCGGCAGTGCCGCCGATTCAACAGAAACATACTGCTACTTTTCACGAATAAATTACACTAATTAAAAACTAGATTTGAACTCGTTACTAAAGACGAGTTTGGTGATCCGCCGTACTTGACCCTTTTAAAGCGTGCACGGTGCTGATTGAAAAGTTTCATAATATGCTAAAATATTCTGTACAACTAGTGTTTTAAAAAAGAATAATTTTCAGCATTTTAAAAGATTTACGCATGCGTACACATACGGCTTGACACCCGTGAGCACTGTAATGGCACATAGAGTGACTCCTGATATGAATACAGTGTCAGGAACACAAAATATGTAACAAAACGTGATTTCCACGCACACAGAACAGTACGTTCTGTGTGCGTGGAAATGAACGTATGGCACGTAAATATGGAAAGTTTTGGAATGCAGAAAATGACCCGAAACATTTAAACTATCTGAATAGTGATACATTATACATATGTATTGAGAATTTTTTAAATTTTAACATACGCACACGTCACGATGTGTGCGTGTACAGTAATGGCACACGAAATTAAATATTTTTGTCGTGTTTTTAAAACCGTCTGTTAGTAATTAATGCCACAGGAATTTTCCCTTTGTATAACCTATACTGTATATATAAGTCTGATAGTGTCAAAATACAGTCTGCCGCTCTCTTGTGTTCTATTTTTTACATCTTTTAAGAATGAGAGATAAGAATGCTCTAAAAATTCATTCTTTTTGACCATGCTGACGTGATCAAAATGAAAAATAAAGGGACACGTCCAAAAGAGAATTGATTTAGCTATAGCATACTCACAGGTGGGAGACAATCAATCAAGATAAGCGAGATACGTTCAAACGAGTATAAAAAGTAATAACGTCATAAATAAAAATTTAATAAATAATAAATAAATAAAACTGCGCACTTTGAAAACCTTATTGTGA